CCCTATAGCGAAAAACCTCTCAAAAAAAAAAAAAAAAACCCTGCAGTTGGCCATGTGGGATTCCAGCACACTTCACCATGCCACCTGTTGACCCCAGAACTCAGATTCTTAAAGACAAGTCAAGTTCACAAGGGCAAGAGAAGAGTTCTAGACACAAGGAGCACAGTGTGAAGTGGAGAGTAGGGTATGGTTGAGCAGTTTGGGGGCAGGCCTGGGAATTCCAGGCTAAGGAGCAGTAAGGTAAACAAGGAGAGCTGTGGGAGAGGAATAAAGCTCAGTGCTATGTCATTATCTCTCCTGAAAGCCATTCTAGGTAGACCCGGGGGGCCCAATGCTCAGGCCCTGGTGACTGGGTAGCAGCGGGTGGGCCTAGAATACACTGAGTGCAATGGCTCTTGGTCTCCAGGTGACCTTTTTTTTTTTTTTTTTTTTAAAATTTTTTAATTTTTTTTTTTTTTTTTTTTTTTTTTTTTTGGGAGCCAGCAGTTAGCGTAATGACTATGTCGCTGGACTCCCACGTAGTCAACCGTGGTTCGCGTCCCAGACCCGGTGGCTTAAAACTCACGCCAGGCGCGTGTGTGTACATGCCCAAGATCCTGAGAGGAGAATGGAGGAGAAGGGATCGTGGCGTGACCATCCCCCCTGGGAGGTGATTTCTCGCTTTCTGTCTCTATGTCTCTCTCTATCTGTCTGATGAGCGCACGTGCCCTATAGCAAAAACCTCTCCCAAAAAAAAAAAGAATTATTTAATTTTACCTATCTATCTAGATATTTATTTATATATTTAGAGGGACAGAGTGAAGGGGGGGGAAAGCGAGGAAGCAATCTGCCAGGTTCAGGACTTGAACTGTGGTCAACTATGTGGGAGTCCAGCAACCTTAACCACCACACTACCTGTCGGCCCTCCAGGTGACCTTCTCAGAGCCCCTGCTGTTATGCTGCCAACAGACACTGTGTTGGAGGATACCCAGCCCTTCTCCCAGCCCATGCTCGGCTACTCCCCAAGTGTGCATCGCTCCCTGCCCCGTCCCTCTCACTCTGGGGCTGAAGATGCAGACAGGGCTGCCAATCACAGGACACAGAGCCATAAGCTTGGGCTGCAGAACTACCACAGTGAGTGTGCAGGGCAGGGGGCCTGGAGCCACGCTTAGCCGGGCCAAGAGTTGGAGAGTTGACATTAGTGGTCTTCCTCTCTCCCGTATGTGTCCCCCAGACCTCCCCCCACCCCCCGGCTATGTCTCTGTTCACAGGCAGAGTCAGTGCTGGACCAGAAGATTACACATCTGCCCCGCTGTCACCTTTGGCTTTGGCTTTCCTGAGTGTGGGGGGCTGGGTCTACTCCTCCACCTTTATCCCCTCTCAGAGCTACAGCCTTGGACTGCTGCTTCTCCAGCCTGTATTCTCTTTCCTTCATTCAGGTCCTGGGGAACCAGCCCAATTTCTGGCAGGAAAGGCAGAGGAGGTTGATGTAGAGCTGTCAGGGGGTGAAGTTGGTGAGGAGGCAGAGGACAGGATGGAAGAAGAAGGCTTGCACGTGAGCAAAGTGAAGGAAGCAGCAGGAGGACAAGAACTTGCCAGGACAGGAGAGCCTGAGGGACACACACAGGTCTCAGAAGCAGAGGCATCTCAGAGGGCCACTGAAGCCGAGGAGCCAGAAGAATCTTCAATGGATGAGGACGTGGCTGGCAGGGCAGGTAAGAGGCTCAGTGCAGGGATTGAGGGTGAGTAGTGACAGCTGTGTCCCCACATAGGAGGGGCTTGTCTGGATGTATGTCTGGACACTGGTGGTGTTCAGGGCTAGGGAGATGCTGAAGGACACTTGGTTGGCTGGAGCTAGGTGGGGCCCTCAAGAAACAGAACAAGGAGACCAGACCTGCACAGCTAGGTACAATAACCAGTCCTGAGCCCCTTTGACTTTGCCTTTCCTCTACAGCAAGTCCAGAGGTGGCCCGCAGCACCCCCAGGTTTCTCCAGGCCAAGCAAGTTCATCAGTTTCTTAAGCCAGCCCCACCATCTGGTGTTGCAGCGTAAGATCCCATGACCACATTCCTCATCGGCCTCTTAGGAAGGAAGCAGGCACTGAGGTTCGGGTTAGGCATCCCATGCACACAGGTCACCCACCTTCCCATGGGTATAGAGATGATTACCCAGCAGGGCTCTGAACTGGGCAGGGATTGCTCAGCCAGAGCACATCTGTCATCCTGGTACTTGTCTCCAGGGGCTTAGAAGATCCTGGGTGAGAGGGAAGTACCTAGGTCAGTGCATAGTCAGGGAAGACTTCCTGGAGGATTAGGCTAATCAGGATAGGCAGAAGGGGACTGAGGAGAGAGAATGTCCACTGGGAGGCCTGGGAGTCATCGGCCTAGCAGGTACCAGAGTATATAGTGAGGCTAGTCAGGTGCAGATGGTGGAGGAGCTGGACCAGAGAAAGACCAGAACTCTACATGCACCCCCGCCCCCCCAACCCCCACAGCTTCTCAGTCATTGGTTGGAGCTGCTGGTCTAGGCTGGCCAAGGAGCCCAGGGTCCCAGGCTCAGCAGGAGCCAGTAAGACTTGTTTGTCCTTGAGAAGGGGCCTCTTCAGGCTGCAGTTCAGGGGCTTCTGTCCACTCCTGCCCCCAGCTCATCTTCAGAGGCTCTGGAGCTTCTTTCGGCCAGGATTTCTTCCAGGCACCAAACGGTTGGCCCCAGGCCCCAACGAGACCCCTACAAGGCTGGGCTGAGCCACTATGCAAAACTCTTTAGCTTTTATGCTAAGATGCCCATGGAGAAGAAAGCCTTTGAGATGGTGGAGAAGTGGTGAGTCCTACAGACGTGGGGTGGGGAGGGGAGCCCCTCGGTCATGGACAGACTGTTCAGTCTGCTCTACCCCAACCTTTTTGGCAGCCTAGACAAGTATTTCCAATACCTTTGTGATGACCTGGAAGTGTTTGCCACTCATGCTGGCCGCAAAACTGTGAAGCCAGAGGACTTGCAGCTGTTGATGCGACGGTGAGTGGGTGGAAAGGGGCAGGGCTACATGGGGGGCGTGTGCCGCACTGATGACACCTGTCCTGTTTGTTCCTCTGCTGCAGGCAGGGCCTAGTCACCGACCAAGTCTCGCTGCACGTGCTTGTGGAGCGGCACCTTCCCCTGGAGTATCGGCAGCTCCTCATCCCCTGCGCTTTTAGTGGCAACTCAGTCTTCCCTGCCCAGTAGTGGCCTGGTCCCAGCACTGTCTTTATCCCGCCTGGAGTCTCTCAACTCCACATACTCTACTCTAGGACTCCTCCCTGACCCTAGAGCCTCAATAAAGTGTCACAAACAGTATTCTGTGATTTGATATGTGTTCTGGCGCCAGCAGGGCAAGGACTGATCACCCTCTGCCCTGTCCCCCGGCACAGCCTGGAGAACGACAAGTTCAGACAAAAGGTTTTATACTAAAAATCAGGGGTAGCAGAAAGGGGTCATCCAGGCTGTCCACGATGGTCCTGGCTTGTAGGCTCCAACTCGCGAGGGCCCACACGCCTGATGTCAGCCATCTGAAGCCGCTCCAGTATGATCTGAAGCAATGTCATAATGCCCTTTTCCTCCTCGTCACCCTCTTCTGGCAGTTCTGACACGGGCAGCTGGAAGGCCTGGCTTATGTAGCCATTCATGGTCTGCTTGTCTATGCTGGGGTCAATGTTCATCAGGGCCTCACGCAGCCTGGAAAGGGTCACCTCATCACGTCTGCCTCACAAGAAGAGAGAGAGACAGACCTTGAACCCTCCTCTCTGTACTCCTGACTCCACGGTGCCCTCCTTCCTGTTGGGCTCAGACAGTGCACAGTGGGCTTATACCATGCAGCATGCACAGGGAGGCCCTAAGATGGCACCGTGTCCTGATGGCCAGTAGGACTTGTCTGGCTGAGTGGGGCTGAGGGCCCAGGTTCACTCACAGTTCCAGCCCCAGCTCTTGCTTTAGCTCCTGTAAGTACTCATCCTTCTCATCCGCGTACTGTTCCCATAGTTTTTGCACAAAGGGATCACTCTGACCCTCTTCGTCCTGGGAGAGGCCACAAGGTAGTGTGAGAGCACGTTGGCTAGGATGCCTAGGCTAGGGTAGGAGTTGGGCAGGTTCCTACCCTCCCACACACACCTCTACAAAAAGTGAGCGGTAGTTGAGCAAGTCTTCACTGCTGTAGTCTGGATGCCAGCCCCCTGCCTCCATCAGCTCCTGAATCTGCTCCTCCTTCTTGAGGGGGAAGATAGTCTTGAGGATAGTGCTGTAGGGAGACATGAGGACCAACGGGCCTGGCTGAGGGTGCCCACCACCTCCTGGCTCCTTCCTCTGAAGGAGGAAGTGTTCAAAGGACTGTGGCCCTTCCCATCGTGCTTCCCTTTTCCCTGCGTACCCAGGAGCCTAACCAGAGGAGATGGGTAGGAGTTTGGGGTGGCCTCTCACCTGAGCTGCTCTATGGTTAGCAGCCCCTCATTCTGACTGTCAGCACTCATCATCTCCTTCTGCAGCTGAGCCACTGTGTCCATCTGGTTGATATACACACTCTCTTTCCTCTATAAGGAGGGAACCATTCATTAATTTAGTGCTTCCTGGACTGGCTATCCTGTCAGGATGAAGGCTCCTATCTGTCTCCTTGAAGGGAACAGGCAGGGGCCAGTCCAAGCTCACCTTTCCCATTAAGACTGCATAGAACTGACTCATGACCTCGTTGGAGCGGAATAGTTTGATATTTTCAAAAATGGTATAAGCCCAGGCCATGGCTTCACTGGGCCCAAAGTGATGCTCCAGGAAGTTGAAGAAGAAATCTGGGAACTTTTCTTTCTGCAGGATGAAGGGATATAATGGTTAGCTTGCCCCAGGGCCAATTGGCTCTCTTCCCTGCTTTCTTGCACCTCAAGGGGATACCCAGAAGGATTCTGGATCTGGAAGCTGCCCCAGGCCAGCATGGTTGGTAAGATCTGACCTGCTCCTCTGCACGTCGTTCATTCCAGGCATCCTTGAGGAGATCTACTACCTCCTTCTTGGTTGGCTTCTTGTTCTCCACAGGGCCATCAAACCGGAGGAACGGAGGAATGGCTTCCCCATAGCCCTGGAAAGGAGGGTGTTATCTCATCTCTGGTTCCATCTGTGACTCCATCCTCAAGCAGGGAAGAACCCCAAATGGCTCTTCCAGAAGCTAAGGGCTTCTGGGCAGCAAGGCCTGGCTGTTCTGACACCCCAAGCCCTCTTCCTGGGGGCTGTCCTACCAAACCAGGGAAGAAGTCTTTTTCCCGGAGCAGGCCCTCGCCAATCTCTTCCAGGAGCACATCCACCAGCTGGTCACTGTTCTTGCCACGAGCCAGAACTTGCCAGCGATCTGGACCTCCAGCGATCCTATCTGCAGGTGGCAAGAGGCAGCTGGAGTCCTGTCCATGCACTTCGGCAGACCCCGGGGCCCCAGTGGCTGTTACCTTCACACTTGGTCCAGTCAGGCCGGGGCGTGGAGGTGCGTTGGATTTCCTGCAGCTCAGAAAAGAACTGATCCCGCTCCTTCAGTGTGCTCATGTGCAACTGCAGCAGTATCTCATGCTCCTTGCGGACCTCTTCATAGTCGGCCCTGAGGCTGTCCAGCTGTGGGCAAAGTGATTGGTCCCAACTGCCTGCCTGAGGACCCAGCTCTACTCTGCCTGGCCCTGCCTGCCCACCAGTACCTGCTCTTGAAGATCCTTGTTGGTCTTCTCTTGCATCTCAAAGTCCCTCCTGGGTACCACATCTCCAAAGTTGGCCTTCATTGTGTTAAGTTCCATCTGTGTGCGGGTCAGGTCTTGCCGAGTCATCTTCAGAGCCAGAGTTAACTTCACGGGGTCCTCCCCCCAGATGCCTGCCAGAAGGCCCGCCAGTCCATGTCATCCCGGCTCTAGGGCTTGAAGCCCATGGCAGGGTTAGAGTATCCCTTGGGGCATGTCCGAGGTTCTTCTGCCCTCTCTATTTGAGATTCCCTGGGTCCTGCCCATAGCACTCCTAGCTAGGAAGGGTAGGACATGGGATACCAAGCTCATCTGGCCCACAGGGAGTCCAGGCTGCCGCAGCTACCTGCAGTGTTCCTACTTAAACAATGATCCTTTGCCTCTCAGTCCAGCTCAGAATACCCACAGCCCCTCATGGCATCAGAGATATTTACTGTGAATGGGTGCAAAATGAGCAGACATTCAGAAGGTTGACTGAATGGGGTGAGTGACAAGAGCGACTCCTCTCTAGCCCTTTAGAGGAGAGAAACCTGCCCATGCCTACCTGGGGACTGGGCTAGAGACATGTCTTCCCGCTGGTACCGCAGCTCATTCAGGTCTGCGATGAGGATCTTGCGGGCATCTCGCTCGCTGAGATAATTTAGGTATTCTTCAGCCAAGTTCTTCCTCAGTTTCTTCACCTATCAGGAAGGCGGCTGTGTGGTCAGGTTGGAGCCCTGCTGGTGTACAGCTAGTCACCACAGGGAGTGGGATGGGTGCTGGCTGCCCCATCAGGGCCCAGGAACAGGAAGGGTGAAGGAAGGAGACTGGCCACTCCCGAGATGATTCTAGGTGCTAGGGCTTCCTCCCATGAACACCTGGCAGCTAAGGAGCAGGACTCCACGGGCACTTGGACTGTACAAGTGTGGAGCCAGGCAGGACAGAGGATGGAGGCAGCAGGATCTCTGGGGGAAGGAGGGCTCAGCACATCTCAGCAGGAGGATGCAGAGGGGCCCAGGGGGAGGGGCAGGAATTCAGGGCCTGGTTACCACACCATTTCCATCCACCTCACTCTGCAATGAGGCCATCTCTTCATTCTTTTTGTCAATAAGTTTTAGCAAATTCATCTTTTCTTTCTTGAGCGTGGAGATTTCATATTTCTCCTCAGCCCTCATGGCCAGGATCCTCTCATTGCAGTCCTCATTCACGGTGACAAGCTTGGCCTTCAGGGGCTCCAGAGCCCTAATCTTCTCCCTCTGGTGGGCTAAGCAGGGACAGAAGGAATGGAGACGGGGGAGAATCCCTTTGGCACCATGGAGAATAAGCAACCAGAAGACATGTATCTTAAGGTCACAGGTGAGTGGCTATGTCAACTATAAAGTCCAGGAGTCTAGGCACACTTCATTCAGAACCATGGCCTATGGACCAGCAGATGGTGTAATGGTTATGTCGTGGACTCCCATGTAGTCAATCATGGTTTGAGTCCTGGACCCGGCAGCTTAAAATTCACACCAGGTGCATGTGCGTTTGTGCCCAAGATCCCAAGAGGAAAATGGAGGAAAAGGGTATGGCCATCCCCTCTGTGGGGTGATTTTTTGCTTTCTGTCTCTCTGTCTCCAGAGAGCACATGCGCCTTATAGCAAAAGTCTCTCTAAAAGAAAAAAAACAACAACCATGACCTTCCTACACTTGCTTTAAAACCAGGGGCAGAGTCCAGCTGAGGATCGGAATCTCTCTGCCATTCCCCCGACAACTTTAGTTCTCCCCTGCATCATGCTTTGCAACTCTAAGCCTCTCCTCTTCCTAGAAGTAGCCCCTCTCAGTTGGCAGGTGGCATGGTGGTTAAGGACACTGGACTTCCACATGGTCGACGTGGTTCAAGTCCTGGGCTTTCTCACTTTCCCTCTCTCTTGCTCTTTCACTCTGTCCTTCTCTGGTCAAATTAGGACATAAGTAATTAAGTAAATAAATAAATATAGTTAAATAAAATAATTTTTTTGAAAAACAAGTAGCCCCTCCCTCCTGGGTCACTCTCTTTCCTGTAGATACTGCTTGTCTGTGTGTCTGAAGGATGAGAGGTGGACAGATGCCCTTGGCTTGTGTGGCGGGGGCTATCACAGAAGACTGAAAAATATGAAAAATGCTGAGCAGGGCTGGGTGACCTCAGGGCTGGGTTAGCAGCTGCCTCAACACTGTGGAGTCTCAGAAGATGAGAATAGGGTCCTCTCTGCCCCTTCCAGACTGGGCCTAGGCAGGGAGTTGCATTCTTACCCAGCATCACCTCATATGCATTCTTGATGGAGGACAGCAATGGCTTGTACGTTTTGAAGTCCTCGATAAAGAATTCAAAGATCTCTCTGTAAGGCTGCAAGAAAAGAGAACTTGTTACTTTCCAACTCATAGCTGCCATCCTCAGTGGAGACCTGAGTTTTTCTTTACTGGGCTCCGAAGTGTCCCGGCATAAAGCCATTCAAGCCAATGGCCCGGGTACCACTTGGGTCTCAGTGCCATGGAGCTGGGGGCAACTCTTTGAGGCCTCTCCTGCTGCTATCTCTGAGAGCCTTGGTGTCCTGGATCAGGACCTCCCACTTTGTGCCCAAGCCTCCTCTCTGGCTCTCCAGGAAGCCAGCATCCTGCCTCCAGGAATGGTCTCAGCTGGCCTCTTTCCTGCATCTGCTCCCCACCTCAGAGCAGGAAGAGACCAAAGCTTCTAACCTTGCATAGACCTCCAGTTGGAGAATGGGTCCCCGCCTCACTTGGACACACAGAAAGTTTGCAGAGCCAGCATGCTTACATGCTTACCATCTATCAAATTAGCCACGTTTGAAGCTCACCCCTCCAACTTCACAGAGCTATGCCTTCTTGGAGTTTCTGCTTGTTGGAGAGGTACCTTCTGTTTGCGAGATTGTATGTGAGGTCCACACCAGGACCTGGCACGTAGTCAGCACTCAGTAAATGCTTTACTCAGTGACTAAGTCAGAAGTCAGGGATTCCCTGTCATCACCTTTACTTAGGAGAGATCTGGTGATTCCCTCCCTAATAGGTACCAGAATCTAGGCTGCATCTACATTTCTATCTGTGTGTCTGGGCTCGTTCCTCAAACTTGAGGCTGTCGCCACTGGTCAGCAGGACACTGACCCTTATTTGCCCAACTCAACTGCCAGTATTTAGGCCTCATTCACTGATGTCCAGTGACCCATGCTGGCTGCTGGGGATAGCAGAGATACGGGGACTGGAGATAGCATCCACTCTACCCGACTTAGGCCAGGAAACTCAGGCCTCAGGTGAGGTGGGTTCTACACTGAAACCTTGTCTGCTTGCTGGCTTTGGCATAGGACAGAGCTGGGAATCTTCCCTGAAGGTCTGAGGTGCTTGGTCCTAGAGGGTGTTTTCTTCCCACCCTTCCCCCGTCCTTTCCACATTTATTCTGCAGCTCAGACCTGAAGCCTCAGCTCTTGAGTGGAATCCGTGCCCAGGTCCAGTAGGAGGAGCTCCTTGCGTAGGTAGTTCTCTAGCTCCTCCAGGTATCTGGGCTTCGCAGTGCCCAAGGACTGTGGCTGCCAGCTCCTGGAGGGGATTGTGAGCTGAGATGTGACAAGAATCCACAGGGCCCTGCCCTCCTCCCAGTCCAGTGCCCGGCCCATCCCAGTCCACCCACCATTGGACAGACTCTGGCTTACCCTGTTCGCTTCCAGTATTTATCTGAACAAGGCTTTCGATTTTGCAGAATGGTCTGGCCACTGGTGAACATGGGCCATGGGGACAAGTGGCCCATAGAGAACTGAAAGGACTGTGGAGGGTATAGAAGGGGTTACCTTGGCAATGTTGCTTCTCTTACCAATGCTCCTTTCTATCCCCTCCCCCCCAGTTATCATTATTAAAAGAAAAGCAAATTATTGGGGGCCGGCAGGTGGCTTTGTGGTTAAAGAACCTTAAAGAAGGTTTTGTTTGGAAGAATTATTTCTTTATTTATTTAATTCCATTTGTTATTATTATTATTATTATTTTTAAATTTGACCAGGCAGAGCTACAGAGAGAGAGAGAAAGGGAAAGTGAGAAAGCAAGCTGTCAAGTCTGGGACTCAAACCGTGATTGGCCATGTGGGAATCCAGCATCTTTAACCACCACGCCACCTGCCAGACCCTTAACGAATTATTTATTTAATTCTATTTATTATTATTATTATTACTATTTTAATTTGACCAGAGAGACACAGAGAGAGAAAGAGAAAGTGAGAAAACAAGCCACCAGGTATGGGACTCAAACCACAGTTGGGGGACCAGCAGTTAGCGTAATGGCTATGTCACTGGACTCCCATGTAGTCGACTGCGGTTTGAGTCCTGAACCTGGTGGCTTAAACGCATACCAGGCACATGTGGGTGTGTGCCCAAGATCCCGAGAGGAGAATGGAGGAGAAGGGATTGTGGTGTGGTCATCCCCCCTGGGGGGGTGATTTCTCGCTTTCTGTTTCTCTGTCTCTCTCTTTCTGGCGAACGCACGTGCCCAATAGCAAAAACCTATTCAAAAAAAGAAAACAAAACAAAACAAAACAAAAGACAGTTGGCATGTGGGAACTCAACACCCTTAACCACCATGCCACCTGCTGACTCTAAGCACAGACACACTATGGTGAATTGAAGAAAAGAAAAAATGACTCCTTGGGGATATATGTTTGCACATGATCTTAAGAATGCCCTATCTTGGGACCAGCAGATGACATGCTGTTTAAGGTTCTGGATTCCCACATGGTCAACCACAGTTCAAGTCCTGGACCTGGTAGCTTGCTTTCTTACTTTATCTCTATCTCTTCCTTTGGTGAGTGCATGTGCCCTTTGGCAAAATTTTTTAAAGAATTATTTTAGAAACCACCATGTGGTGTGGTGGTTAAGGTGTTGGATATTCCCACATGGCCAACCATGGTTTGAGTCCCAGACTTAGTGGCTTTCTTTCTCACTTTCTGTCTCACTCTCTTTGTGTCTCTCATAGGTCAAATTAAAAGAAATAAATGAATAAATAAAATTAAATGAATTATTTTAAAAAGAATTATTTTATTTAACTTTATTTTTAATTTTGATGTGAGAGAGAGAGAGAGAGCGATAAAGAGGGAAAGTGAGAAAGCAAGCCACCAGGTCTGGGACTCAAACTGTAGTTGGCCATGTGAGAGTCCCGTACCCTTAACCTCCATGCCACCTGCTGGCCCTCCCTTTAGCAAATTTTAAAAAAGAGTAGAAAAGAAGGAATTGCAGGATGGCCATCCTCCCTGGGGGTGATTTCTCTTGCCCTTTCACTGTCTCTCTCTCTCTCCAGTTAGTAAATGGATCCTATGACAAAAAAAAAAAACTAAAAAAAAATTAAAAATCAAAACTTCAGGATTTGGGGGAATAGAAAAGTCAGAAAAAGATTTTTTGAAAGACTATCAAAATTGATGTGAGGCTGGTTGTGGCATGGTGGTTAAGGCTCTCCCCTATATTAACATTTATCCAATAACTATACATTGACTCCTATGTGCCAAGTATTAGGGGTGTGGTGGTAAGCAAGACAAACAGAGGTGATGAGAGAAGACAGAGGCATGATGATGGGAAAGATCAGGGGGCATTTGGCCTGGGAAGAGCATCAGGGAGGACCTCTGAGATCTCAAGGGTGAGTGGTCAGGATAGGTTATTGTTTTCTTTTAACTTGCCAGAAGGCACATGTACTAGTTAGAGAGAGACAGAGAGGAGAGGGTGAAAGCACTTGCCAATGGATACTGGTCACGCTGCAGTTCCCTCTCCTCTATTTCTCCATTCCATTGGGATTTTAAGCACCCATACATGTGCTCCCAGCATGTCTTTCAAGTCTCTGGGGCCAATTCAAGGCTATTGTCAGTCATGTGAGATCCATGACCACTAGGCTACCGGCTGGCCCCAGGATAAGGCTTTCTTTCTTTCTTTCTTTCTTTCTTTCTTTCTTTTTCTTTTTCTTTTTCTTTTTCTTTTTTTTTTTAAAGGCTTTTGCCATGAGGCACATGAGCTCACCAGAGAGACACAGAGACAGGGAAAGTGAGAAATCACCCCAGCAATCCCTTTATCTCATTCTCCTCTAGGGATTTTGGGCACTCAGGAACACATACCTGGCTTGATTTTCAAGCCACCAGATCTGGAACTCAAACTGTAATTGGTCATGTGGGAGTCCAGTATCTTAACCACTATACCACCTGCTGGCCCCTGCAGCTTAATTTTCAACAGTTTGACTCACTGCATTTTTTTCCAATTTATATATTTCTACTTTCAGGTATACAATTCTTTGAGGCTTTCTTTCCTATTAATAACGTTTTGTTTTGTTTGTTTTTTGTTTTTAGGTTTTTGCCATAGGGCTTAGTGCTTGCTGGAGAGGGAAAGATAGAGATGGAAAGTAAGAAATCACCCTCCAGGGGAGATGGCCACCCCACAGTCCCTTCTCCTCTATTCTCCTGGGATTTTAGGCACACACACACACACACACACACACACACACACACATGTGCATTGCATTATTTTCAAGTAGTCAAGTCTGAGACTTGAACCATGGTCAGTCATGTGGGAGTCCAGAACTTTAATGGCCACACCACTTGCTGACTCCTATAATGAAAGTATTTTAAGCAATGAAAATAATTGCCTGTGGGCCAGTCAGTGGCATGTTGGTTACCTCATCTGGATCCCACAAGGCTGACTGCAGTTCGAGTTCTGAACTGGACAGTTTGAAAAACACTTGAGGGTGGGAATAACAGATGATGAAATAGCTATGTCGCTGGACTCCTACATGAACGTGCACGGTTTGAGTTCTAGTGGCTTGAAATCACCCCAGGTGTGTATGTGTGTGCATGCCCAAAAATGCTAGAGGAGAGTGGAGGTGAGTGAAGCAATTGCAGCATGGCCATCCATTGCTGGGAGCGGGGGTGAGGGTGGAAGTGGGGGTGTTTTCTTTCTGTCTCTATGGCAAGTGCATGCCCTATACAGCAACAATCTCTCTAAAGAAAAAAAGAAAAACACCTGTGTGTGTGCATGTGTGCCCAGAAATCCCAAAAGGAAGTAAAAATGGAGGAGAAAGGATTGAGCCATGACCATCTCTCATGAGAGGTGCTTTCTCACTTTTTCTCTGTCACTCTCTCTCTCAAGACTGCATGTGACCCCTGGCAAATTTAAGAAACCCAAAAAACTGGGGCCAGAGGTGGCATAAAGGTTAGGGTACTAGACTTCTACATGGCTGACTGTGGTTTAAGACCCAGACCTAGTGGTTTGGTTTCTCACTTTTTTCTCTCTCTGGTGAGCACCCATGCTCTATAGCAAATTAATAATAACAACAAATAAAATAATTATAAAATGTAAAAAGCTGATGTGATTTTTATAAAAGTATAAATTACCCTAGGAGACACCTAGGAAATTGTCAAAGGAGCACCTAACCCTAGTGTTTTTCAGACTAGACACGAGACCTGCCCTTGGGTACTGTTTGTTGTTTCTGCCGGGAAAACGTGGTAACTCTACTTTGACTGTAGAGGTGAGTGAAAACTAATAGCCTGGGCTCGGGCCCTGTCTTAGCAGTGGTTATTCTTCACAGGGGAAGCCTCCGCCAGCGTGGACTAGAACGCAGTGATCCTGGACGCTCCATGTTCTCTGCTTCCCCCTGCAGGTGAAAACAGGAAGGAGGCCCTGGGAAGATAGAGGGAGGAAACAGTTCCCCCTAGTGGTTGAGGACAGCGTTGCCGCCGTCACACAATAAGGAGCCAGGTCCTAGGTCCACTAAAGTGGGAGGAGCCAGTTAGAGCTGGCCTTGGCTGGTCAAGTCTGTGCATGGTCTCCTTGAAGCGTCCAGACCGCCCTCCTTTTCCTCCCTGGAGTCAGAACTCCTGTGTCGGGAGTCCTCAGCCTCACAAAGTGTGTGGTCTGTATATTCCCAAATCTTCCATGAGGGGTACACACTGTGAATAGAGTTGTAAATTTATTCAAATGTATGTTTTCCTCTGTGACATTTGGACAAGGCTATTTACTTATTAAATAATAACAATCCTATAATCATAGCAACAAAAGCTCTAGAGTACTTAGTATGACAGCATTCATTTTTAGTTTGTTCTAGGGCATGTGTGAGAGAGATGGAGAGGGGGAAAGTGAGAAATGACCTCCCATCAGGGATGGCCATGCTGCAATCCCTTCTCCTTCATTCTCCTCTTGAGATTTTGGGCACGCATGTATATACACATGGTGTGTTTTTTAGGTTGCTGGGTCCTGGACTCGGACCACCACATTGGCCACGTGGTATCTAGTCACCTTAACTACTATGACACCTGCTGGCCCAACAGCATTAGTTTTTACATTAAAACTAAAGAACAGGGGGCCTGATGGTGATGCAGTAGTAACCTGACACTCCACAAGGCAGACCCACAAAGGAAGGTTGCTGCTTTAAGTCTGGAGACCTCCCTGAGTATGTTAGGTATGCATGTGCCCATGATCCTGGCTGGCTGAGACTGGGGCAGTGAAACCCTGGGGGTACTCTCTCTCTGTTTCTCTCTCACTCATAGAATTAAAAAAATTAAATATATATATATATATATATATATAGAGACCGCAATCCCTCCTCCTCCATTCTCCTCTCAGGATCTTGGGCATGCACACACACGTGCCTGGCGTGAGTTTAAGCCACCGGATCCAGGACTAGAACCACGGTCAACTACATGGAAGTCTAGCGACATAGCCATTATGCTAACTGCTGGTTCCCCCAAAATAATATTTTTTAAATAATTATTTTATTTAATTTTATTCATCATCATCATTTTTTTTTTTCAATTTGACTATAGAGCAACAGAGAGAGAAAGAGAGAATGAGAAAGAAAGCTGCCAAGTCCAGGACTTGAACCGTGGTCTGCTATGTGGGAGTCTGGCACCTTAACCATGATGCCACCTGCTGATCTGAAAAAATAATATATTTAAAAAAATATATATTTATTTAATTTTATTTATTATTATTATCTTTTCCCCTTTAGTTTGACCAGAGAGAGACAGAAGGAGATAGAGAGGGAAAGTGAGAAAGTGAGCCGCCAGATCCAAGACTTAACCCTTGGTTGATCATATGGGAGTCTAACCACCATGAAAGAATATCTTTTGAAAAAGATAGCACTTTTATGGGGCCAGCAGGTGGCGTGGAGGTTAAAGGTGCGGGACTCTCACATGGTGGACTGTGGTTTGAGTCTCAGACCTGGCGACTTAGTTTCTCACTTTCCCTCTCTCTCTCTTTCTTTCTCTCTATCCCTCTCTGGTCAAATAAAAATAAATAAATAATTAAATAAATAAACAAATAAATAAAGTTAAATAATTATTTAAAAAAAAAGATAGCACTTTTATATAAAAACTAAAAACAGGGAATTGGACAGTGGTGCAGTGACAAAATGCTACACTGTGAGGCTGACCTACATGAGGAGGTTCCAGTTTTATCACTGAGGACCTCCCTAAATACATGTGCCCATGACCCAGGACTGACTGAGGCTGGGGGTGGATTGTGGCATCATGACCTTGTTCAGATTCTCTTTCTCTCTGGTCACAGAATGAATGAATACATGAATGAATTAAAAAACAAAAATCTAGGGCCAGCTAGGTGGCATGGTAGTTGAGACTGGATTCCACATGGCTGAGTGCATGGTTCAAGTCCTGGAGCAGGCGGCTTGGAAAATTCATGAGGTACATGTGTGTGCGTGCCCAAAATCTTGAGAGGAAAATGGAAGAGAAAGGACTGTGGCATGGCTGTTCTCCCTGGGATGTGATTTCTCACTTTCCCTCTCTTATCTTTCTTTCCTCTCTTTCTGGTGAATGCACACACCCTATAGCAAAAAAAAAAAAAAAAAATCTAAACAACAGGAATGTGGAAAAGACCCATGGCCAGTAATACACCTGCTCATGAGCATTTATGGGCTCTCAATTTTTGCCAGCCACTCATGTACAAAAAGATATAGGTGTGGCCCTGAAGGACCTTGGCAGATCTGGTAGGACCAACCTAGCTCCTAGTACAGTAGCTGGCATGTAGCGGGCTGGATGAAAAAAATCAGGTCCACTCTAGAATGCTGAGCTGCAGAGGAAGGGTGTCTGTGGGCACAGGCTGAGTCTTTCTCTCTGCCCAAGGTGATCCAAGAAGGCTTTGTAGACGATGAGCAGCCAGTATGTACAACTCTCCTCCCCAGAGCCTGGTGTGCCACACTCCACTAATGGAAGAGAAGCTGCTCTGGTGGGCATATCTTGGGGGGGGGTGCTTTTGGGTTATAGACAGGAAAACAGTGTTTGAGGCTGATATATGGGGCTAAAGGACATCATCACTAACCAGCGTTTTACGTTTCTGAGAAAGCTTGCGTTTCGGGGTGCTTTTGGTTCCTGGGAGAGAGGAGTCATCTCTGTTCGCTGTTGAATACCGTGGGTATGTTCTGTACAGAGAAACAGAGGAAGTTATTGGTGGGTGACAGAGCCTAGAGTGAGGAAAGAACCCTACCACACACCCACCATTGACAAGGCATGGCTTCGTCTCCCCACGGAACCAGGCTCTAGGTCTTCCCAGCGCTTCTCCAGATTCCCAGAGATACTGCCAAGCGAGCCCCTGGCCCTGGGCCTAACCCATTTTCCTACACTACCAAAAACCTTCTAATTGCCAGAGTTAGGCCAGCCCCATAACCTATTGGTTAAGGGAGCTGGATCCCACATAGCCAACTGCTTATAATTCTGCCCCTAACTTAAGACATGTCAGGTGCATGTATTGCAGCATGACCATGCTCCGTTAAGGGGGATGCTTTCTCCATCTGTCTCTCTCTCTCTCTCTGGTGAGCACATGTACTCTCTGACAATTAAAAACAATTTTTTTTTTACATTGGCAGTCCAGCAATATAGCCATTACACCATCTGCTGGTCCCTTTTTGTTTTAAGACTTTTTGCCATAGGGTGTGTGAACTTGCTGGAGAGAGTGAGACAGAGAGAGAGAATAAGAAATCACCCAAGGGGGAGAGCCACGCTGCAATCCCTTCTCCTCCATTCTCATGAGATTTTGGGCAAGCATGCACATGCATTCTCCAAGCTGCCAGATCCAGAATTCAAACCATGGAGTCAGCCATGTGGGATCTAATGCCTTAACTACCATGCCACCTGCTGGCTCCCCTGTTCTTCTGGCTCTGCCCTTTGGAGTATGTCAGAGTTATATACATGAAACCATTATCACAGCTGCAGCTAAGCACTGTGAACAGAAGTGCAGGTCCAGGGTTCTCTGGGCTCATGAAGGGTAACCTGCTGCTTCAGTGGTTGATGAGACTAAGATGATTTTTTAAAAATTGTGGGACCAGCAGTTAGCGTAATGGCTATGTCGCTGGACTCCCATGTAGTCAACTGCGGTTCGAGTCCCAGACCCAGTGGCTTAAACTCACGCCGGGCGTGTGTGCATTCGTGCCTAAGATCCCAAGAGGAGGAATGGAGGAGAAGGGACTGCAGTGTGGCCATCCCCCCTGGGGGGTGATTTCTCGCTTTCTGTCTCTATGTCTCTCTGTCTGTCTGGAAAGCACACGTGTCCTATAGCGAAAACCTCGCCAAAAAAAAAAAGAAAAATGTACAGAGCTTAAATGGTGCACTGTGGAGCTGGATCATAAATATGATTCTCATTTTGCTTATCTGACAGTTGTTGTAAAGCTTGTTTGTTTGTTTGTTTGTTTATTTTGAGAGAGAGGTTTTTGTTATAGGGCGTGTGCGCTTGCCAGAAAGACAGAGAGAGACAGAGAGACAGAAAGTGAGAAATCACCCCCCAGGAGGGATGGCCATACCGCAATCCTTTCTCCTCCATTCTCCTCTTGGGATCTTGGGCACGCACGCACACACGCCAGGCATGAGTTTAAGCCACCAGGTCCGGGACTCGACTTCGGTCAACTATATGGGAGTCCAGTGACCTAGCCATTATGCTAACTGCTGGTCCCGCCTATTTGTTTATTTTTAAATTTTGCCGGAGGGCAGATGTGCTTGCTGGAGAAACAGAAAGGAAGAGGGAAAGTGAAAAGCACTTCCTATGGGCAGCAGTTATACCACAATTCCTTCTCCATTTCTCCCTCCTTCTGGGATTCTGGAAAATGGATCTGGGAGTGGCCATCTCTCTGGAGGATGCTCACTTTCCCTCTCTCTTTGTCTCTCTCTGGTGAGTACATGTACCCTCTTCAAGTTAAAAAAAGGGAGAGAGACAATAGTGAAAATAGACTTATTAAAAAAACTGAACAGAGCACCTTGTAGCCTATATACTCATCCAAAAAAAGCTTAAGCTGCTTCTTTTTCTTTCTTTTTTTTCTTTCTTCCTTTCTCTCTTTCTTATTTTAGGTGGTTTTTGCCTTAGAGTGCGTGTGCTCACCAGAGAGAGACAGACAGAGACAGTAAGAGAGAGAGAGAGAGGGCAAGTGAGAGAGGGCCAGTGAGAAAGCAAGCCGCCAGGTCTGGGACTCAAACCGTGGTCGGCCATGTAGGAGTCCAGTGCTCTTAACCACCATGCCACTGCTGGCCCCTGAAATTATAAACAATATTTTACATCAACTCCGAGAGAGGAATGGAAAACATACTTTCATCTTCAAAGTGGAGAAAATTCAGTTATTTAACGGAGGCTGGCAGTGAGTGTGTCAGGGGTATATCCTGGTAGTAGGTGAACTCAAGCTGCTGAGTTCTACTCACCCAAGTACTGTGCTAGGCATGTGAGGAAGAATGAAAAAAGCCAATGTGGGGGGGCCAGCAGGTGGCATGGTGGCTCAGGCGCTGGACTCTCACACGGTAGACCACGGTTTGAGTCCCAGACCTGGTGTCTTGCTTTCTCACCTTTCTTTCTTTCTCTGTCTCTCTCTGGTCAAATTTTAAATAAATAAATTAATTAAAAAGAAGAAGAAGAATCAATAAAATAAAATAAATAAAATAATTCTTAAAAAAAATAAAAAGCAAATGTGGAGGAGAAATCCACCCTAGGGAAGTCACAACTAAAAGTTCCTTTAAGAAGGTCCTGCAGAGGGGACCAGCAGGTGGTGTGGTGGTTAAGGTGCTAGACACTCCCATATGGCCAACCATGGTTCAAGTCCTGGACCTGGTGACTTGCTTTCTCACTCTCTTTCTCTGTGTGTGTGTGTGTGTCTCTCGGGTCAAAATAAAATAAGTAAATGAGTAAATAAAATTAAAAATATTAAAAAAAAAAAAAAGAAGAAGGTCCTGCTGGGACCAGCAGTTAGCGTAATGGCTATGTCACTGGACTCCCATGTAGTCGACCATGGTTTGAGTCCCGGACCTGGCAGCTTCCTTTCTCCCTTTCCCCCTCTCTCTCTCACTCTGTGTCTCTCTCTGGTCAAATTAAAATCAATGAATGAATAAATAAAATTAAATAAATAATCATTAAAAAAAAAAAAAGAAGAAGGTCCTGCTGGGACCAGCAGTTAGTGTAATGGTTATGTCACTGAACTCCCATGTAGTTGATGGTGTTTCAAGTCCCGGACCCAGTGGCTTTAACTCATGCTGGGTGCGTGTGCATGCGTGCCCAAGATCCTGAGGAGAATGGAGGAGAAGGGATTGTGGCGTGGCCATCCCCCCTGGGGGATTGATTTCTCACTTTCTGTCTCTCTGTTTCTCTCTGTCTTTCTGGAGAGCACACGTGCCCTGTAGCAAAAACCTCTCCAAAAAAAAAAGAAGAAGATCCTCTGACATGTTCTATAGTGCTAAAGTTTGACCTATCCAACATCCTGGCCCTGCTGTAAGGATAGCGATACTGTGTCTCTAGGAGAAACTAAGCCTGCTCTGATATATATCATTAAATACTGGTGTATGTACAATATGTGAGCAATCTTTCGCACTGTCACCAAATTCAGCTGAGCCATTTCACTGTGCTTCCATCATAAAATGGATGAGGATTCACTTTTGGAGCCTATTTCATATTCCTCCCATAGCTGACTGCAATTTGCCAAGTTATTCCTGTGCTGGTTAATGACTCTCAAACCCGCTGCCTGGTTTTCCTATACTCATGTTAGCTGTAGATAAAATAATTGAATTGGCATTTCATGCTCTAGGGGACTTCTGTAACCTTTCTCTGTCAAGGCAGAAGACCCTGAAGGATTAGAGTTTGGATGAGATCAGTGGTTTTGTTTGTTTGTTTTTACTATAGGGTGCGTGTGCTAGTCAGAAAGACAGAGAGAGACAGAGAGATAGAAAGCGAGAAATCACCCCCCGGGGGGATGGTCACGCCGCAATCCCTTCTCCTCCATTCTCCTCTCAGGATCTTGGGCACACATGCATATGTGCCTGGTGTGAGTTTAAGTCACTGGGTCTGGGACTTGAACCGTGGTCAACCACATGGGAGTCCAGCGACATAGCCATTATGCCAACTGCTGGTCCCTTATTTGTTTACTTAGGGAATATACAGAAGGGAAGAAACCACATTCAGTCAACATTTTCTGAATGACTATTATATACAAGAGCTGTGATAAGAGCTTCGCATATTCTTTTTTTTTAACAAAATGATTTTATTTATCTTTATTTATTTTAATTTGACAAGTGAGGGACAAAGAGAGAGAGAGAGAGTTTAAAAGCAAGTTGCCAGGTCCAGTCCTGGAACCATGGTAGGCCATGTGGAAGTCCACAGACTTAATCACCAGGCCACCTACTGACCCCAAGAGTTTCACATATTCTGCCTTAATGTTCGCAACAGTGTTTGTAGGGCAGGATGTGTCATATCATGTTCGAGATACAGAAGTTGAGGCCTGGAACTTCAAGAACTTTCTGAGGTCCCAAAGCTAGAAAGGTATTTAGCCAATAAATTTTGTTTTGTTTTTTTAGTTTGCTATAGGGCATGTGTGCTTGCCAGAGTGAGACAAAGAAAGAGACAATGTCAGAAATCACTCCCTGGGAGAATGACAATTCCTTCTCCTCCATTCTCCTCTTTGGATTTTGGGTGCCTACAGGCATGTACTCTGCATGATTTTCAAGGTGCCAGGTCCATGACTTGAACTGCACATCAGTCAGTTAATCTCCACGCCACCTGCTGGTCCCCAACTTTGTGTTTTTATCCACATGTATGGCTTTCTTGGCCAATGGAGCTTGTCATATTTTACAGTGCCCAAAGATTGCAATCGCCAGTATAGGAAGGGGCTACTCTGAGGCTGTGGGATATACCTGGGCTGTTTAAAGTCAGCCGGCAACTGGACAAGCATCTTTTTCAAAAGCCCAACTCGTGGGTGAAGGGTCAATTTATCTCTGGGGCTAAGAACTCAAGTTCATGAGTCTGACGTAGTTCAGATCTTAGCTTCATCACTTATAAGCATGTGTAAAACACATGATCTCTCCAGGTTTCCATTCCTTCACTTGTAAAATGGCAATCTTACTACCTCATAGATTGTCGTGAGGGTTCAATGGGGTATATAAAGCATCTGGGACATAATACGTTCAGTACGAACTGGCTGTAAATACTAATGATATAGCAGGTAACATCCTTACTGGACTAAATCAGCCCGGATTCTGTTTCTATACCAGTGAGTCTGTGGGGCTGGAGCTCCAGACCAACGGACAGAAGCCAGCAGGAGGTGCAGCGGTCAGGATCAGCTGCCATCTCCTTCTCTGGAAGTACTCATCCCTCCTCTGCGCCCTCGGGTCAGCGCCTACCTCGATGTGGATGAGAAGCTGGAGTACAGAGGCCGCGGGGAGTCCATGACCCTCGTGCAGGCAGGCAGGCAGCACCAGCTGACTTGGAAGTTGTTGTAGTGTACAGCCCGTCGCCATGGCGACCAGGCCCAGGCGGCCCCGCGGTGGGGGGCGGAGTCCGGGTTGCGTCCCGCCCCCGAGCCCAGCGCCCGCGGGCCGGGAGGAAGACCGGGTAGCAAAGGTGGACTCCGACTGAAAGGGGGACACCTTGAGAGTCGGTCACCGTAGCGGATTTTATTGTAGTTACCAGAACTGAGGCAGGGAGATGAACAGAGGCTATGGGGGAGGGAGGAGAGCGGAGAGGCCGGGAGCCGCTTTGCCGGCGGGACTTGTAGTTTTCTGTGCCGCAAATCTTGGTTGGACAGGCTGATGGCGGAGCTGGTTCGTACTACATCTCCCAAAGTTCCCTACCGGCCCGAGTTGGCCCGCCTCTGGGGAGCTTTGCATTATGGGACATGGAGTCCGAAATGTGCCGAGGCGTGGCAGTGTCCAAACAGAGGTGCGGTGCTCGGACTCGGTTTCCCTGCGGCCCCGAGAGGCTCGCGGGCCATTGGCTGAGCGGCGCGGATCTGGTCCCGCACCTCCCCGCCCCCAGTGACACAATAGCAGCTCCCTCCAAGATGGCGGCGGCGACGGCGGGCCCGGGCGCTGGGAGGCCGGCGGC